TCTATTAGGGATCTGGTATATATTTCATTAGTATACTGCTGAAATAAAGACGCTTTAATATAAATGAAAGTAGTGAAGTTGTATCTGAAAAGGAAATAATATTAAAAACTACGAAGGTTTAAAGAATTTTCTCTTTTGAGAAAATTAAATTTTTTTCATATACCTAATCATTTTTTTTTAGTTTTTGTTTGTATGTAAATATTTGCAACGGAATTGTTTATGAATCGTGATGAAAACGGCTTTTTACAAATATAAACTGGAAAATTTAAATGCGAAAAATTTACAATATAAGTGAGTTTAAAATTTTTAAAATGTCAAAAGTGCGAGGGGGTTCACATTGCGAAGGGAAGCACATAATTTCTAGAATAACTACGACGTTTCTTTGTATTTTACATCTCCCCATTATTATCATAAGATATACGATGCCAAAAAATGAATATCAATTTCCTCATTAAATAGAGTGCTTGTCGATTATAACTGACGGATTACTTTATTGCATTAGATTAAGTGCAACAATACCACCTAATGACCTAGTTTATGGCAATAATAGCAATCTCGAAATTTTCCTTTCGTTTGGATCAACTCCAATTGGCTGAGCACCATTAACCTTATGGTTCGTCATCTTCCGGACTGGTGTGTTTCTTCAGAACAGTTTCTTCTAACCTAGCGGTACTTTGTTGGTAAACACGACTGGGTTATTGGCGGTTCGAGGTTACAGACGCTTCTCTTAGCCTAGTGACATACTGGTACTTGTACATGAAGAACCAGAGTGCTGTTCATACTTACTTTAGTTCATTAAATGTTTGTTTGATTGCGTGTTAATGTGGCATTGACTTGTTCTGCATTCTTTCAAAATACTTCCTTGTCTTCAGATATAATTTGATACTAACCCATCTCATATACTATTTGAATTGTTCTGAAACTGCTTTGAATAAAACTAGTGAGTTTTTCGGAATTATACGCCGTCGCGGAAAGATTTATTTCGAACATTTCCCAAGCATAAAGAAACTATTTTCCGTGACGATCTGAGAGCGCGAAAAACTCACGAAATGGCCGTAAAAGCTGAACTTTTTTAACTGCATTCAATTTTTAAAATTAGCTCCCTTATAAGACCCGTTGAAAAAAATACATTTTTTAGATTTTTTTTCTGGGTTTTTTTATGGGCCTTAAACAAATATTTTTTAAAACCCGTTAGAAGACCAGAACATCCTGGGATTTTTATATGATTTCGGCGATTTTATTTTCTCCGGCTTACTAGAACTACAATATCTCTCCAGTTTTTTTTCTAATGTATGTCGTAATTTATTGTCCATATAGGGTTTCACTTTGTTTTATTCATTAGCTAATTATGTTTTATGTTCGTCTTTCCTTCGCTTATCGAGATTTTTGTTAAGGGAATTGAAGCCATTTTGTCATGAATACAAGACATTTTCTTACCAAGCATGTATAAATGCACCATTACTATATATTAATATTTGACAATTTAATATGAAAACGGACTTTACTTATGTACATATGTACCTCATATTCTTCTCATTTGTCATAATCACAAACGACAATTGTCGAAACTAGAAAGGAAAAATATGTTACAAACAAAGAAAACGCTTAAAAAAAGTAAAGTTAAACCTACTTGAAATACGCATTTTTATATCAAAACATGCTTTGTATTTTTTTACAAACTTCTTTTTGGGTATTTCGCCTCAAAAATTTTTGAACAATTTTGAAAAAAGACGGAATTTCCTCACGTCTTTTATTACAGATTGATAAATAGTGCTCCTATTTCGCAATAAGAACGAATTATTTATCAAAAAGTAATCAAGAACTATCACCTAGAGGGTATCCTGCGACACACTTAGGCTGAAGCTGTATCCTTTATATTGTATGAGATATTTTGTATTGAGAGAGTTTCCGGTTTTTATACAAAAGGCAACAAAGTTCACTATTGTCAATTCCAATCTAGTTACTACTTATATGTTATTACTACTATATACTACTATACTAAATATTAACTTCTTTTTTCAGGTGCAAAACACCGAAACGTATTCTGAAGAATGAAATAAACTGTAATAGCGAAGTAAATAAATGACTGAAACCCAGGGAACGATTTCGTATTAAAATTGAAGTACAGTCAGGAAAAATAACACGAAAAAATGTGCAATATTAGTCTATTTCTTTAAAATAGTGTCTAATTTTTAAATGGTATTTGGATAGCCGTTTGAGATGAAAAGCTCACAAAAGTAATTAGTTTTTGTTTTTAAAAAAATAACACGTTTTTAAAGCAAGCATGTTTTACGATAACTTCAGTTAAACGGAATTCGTTTTTTATGGGCGTTAAACAAGCGGCGAAAAAGCTAATAAACATAGAGAAAATCTGAAAAACGCAGCTCCTGATTCAAATTTCATAACAATGGTATTGAAAAATATATTTTTCAAATAGAGCACGATTAAATAATTAACCAGGAAGGTTGCATGTCGTGAAAGGTCAGATCATCATTCATTTCGCATAAGCAGACTATCGTAGATAAATTAAAGTGAAATAAATTCTAGGATCTATTTGATTCGAAGCAAAAATATTGGATATAAACAGTGGGTTTGTGTTACAACTGGCCTGGCCCATGATTGCTTCAGATTTTACAAATTTTACATATAAAAACCACAAGCCGTTTCTATGTAAAAGGAGGTGTGGATCTGCTTTATTTCTATTCTTTTTTCTATTCTAACTTTATGATTTTTTATATCCATCTCATCATCCCCAGTGTTTGTTCTCATTGACTAATCTGGGAGACGATTTGCATATTTATTCTTGATATATGTTTTATATTTTTTAATCTGTTAATTGATGATAAATTCTTCGGAATAGCGGGGAGATAATTACACATGCTTCCGTCAGATTAAATCAGCAGATACTGCAATATATTCGATTTTAGCAGCTTTCCGGCTCGTCTGATTTTTTGACAAAAAATGAATTTCAAACAAAAATTACACCTATCACGCGTAACGAAAAATATCTTGTTTGATTAGAAATTTCTCTCGTAAGCTGTGGTTGATCAACCAAAACAGGTGAAATTTCTGGTCAGTTTAGTATCCTTTGGGCGGTAAATTACAGATCTTTTTCGTAGGAGTCACATAAATTTGTAGGATCAATGACTCCAAAATACGGGTGAAAGTTACAATTTGTATATTTAAAACAATCATTCATGTACTATGCAAGCATAACATATCGTTTATTAACGTGCATCGTTCTGGTCTTCGAACATTACCAACGATTTATAATGCAAATTAATTTATGATAATCTGATATAATTTTCATGCTCAATAGTGTTCACGGTATTTCCTGCTTTACGGTTAATTGAAGGATTTTACCAAGTAAAGTGGGTGGGTAATAACTCGCTCAGAAGGTCAAAAAACCTTTGCAGGAAGGTAGCTTATTAGTAGAAATTTCCTTACAAAACCATCAACTTTGTTTTAACTAACTTTCAACTAATCTATTAAATAATTATCAGATTTATGCAGAGTGATGGCTTTGCACTATAATGGTCACTTTTGAGATGAATAATTTAAACCTTCATCGTTAGCTTTATTTAGATTGTGAACTCTTAATTATCTAAATAATCACCTTAATCGGATCAAGTTTTGCTTTTGGTCTATGTCAGAAGTCTTCGAGAATGTACTAATTGCTCATCTTGGCTTAGTTTGTTTTGGAATTAACAATATTTCTGTACTTTAATGTCATTGCCTAATGTCTTGCTATGTTGAACTTGTGTCATGCATAAAAGTTAAAATATTAAAAAATTTCTCTTTGACCTAATTGTTCATCGATGAATTGCATAATTTCAGTATTAAGCTTATATTACATCGACAGAAAAGTGGAGACTTAAGTTAACAAAAATAAGAGTTATTATAAACAGCTCTAAAATAATTGTAATACTTTGTTGAGACTGTTTCCCATTGTCATAATAAATATGATTCTTATTTTGTTAAAAAGATTTTATAAAAATTGCACAGTCTGGTTTTACGAAACTCAATTGGCCGATTTATCGGCACTATTTGCCTGAGGACAAATGGGAATGAGAAAGTTAAATTAGGCAAAAAGCAGACACTGCAAAAACAAAACCTTCAGGCGCTTAAGTCGATTTGCAAACGTGAAAACGAAGAGAACGGCAGAAGAGGATCATATTGAAGAAACAGGTTGAAGGATGGTGGAATGTGTGTTACTGGGTGTAAGTTCACGAAGTCTAGGCGTGGCCTTACTTTCATAATCGTAAGAGTGCTCGAGGCTCCTTTGCACCAATTCGTTGTTTTTGTTAAAGCGCACTTTCCATAATATTGGCTTCATTAATACGAAGGTTTTCAGTTCTTGCAAATTTGAATAAAAATATTGCAATTTTTGTCTTGATCAGTTGCCTGTTGGTCTAATATTCGCTTAACTTTTGCTGAATTTAACCTGTAGGTAAAATAGATGAATTGGCAAACAAATTAGAAATGTTTTTAATTTATACTATTTGTGATAATATCGGCATTACTTTGTAATAACTAAAAACATTTTAAAAGTTTCTAAATGAGAAAACCATATTTTTACATTTTCTATTAAACTTCAATTTACTGGAAAAAATGTACTGGATTAATTGTCCCATAATAACATTAAAATTAATTCCCTTGAAAAAATTTAAACAAAATTTCATTAATTTTAAGATTGAACAATCTTAGCAGTTACCCAAGAAATTTAAGAAATCTAAACAGCAATATTAATAATTGTACAGTTGGAATACATGAAATAAAGTGACTAAAAACATTTCGATACAGAATACGTTTAAAAACAATAGAAATCGGAAAATAATAGATTGAAAATAAAGAAAGTTTGCGTAAAAGCAGGAAGCAATGTAATTTATTTTATCTATTTAGTACCTGCCTGAGACGTATCAGCTTGGAAAATTTCATCCAGTTTCGTGCGCGCTATAACTCGTTTCCACTGATTTTCTAATAACATTTCTCTATTTCAGGTTTAGATAACATAAATACGTCGCCAAGAAAAAGAAGAGATAATGATAAAGGTAAGCAGTTTTGCATGTAACTATTTATACGTGGCTCGTTTACTAATCTATTTTATTTCTTTAACTGGTTTTGTATATAAATTTATTCTTTCACATTACGATTGTGGAAAATAAAAATGGCTAAAAAGCCATTTGGTAATCACATAAATGTCGTTTGGAATATTTTTGTATATTGCAATACGACTTTTTTCAATCTCGATTGGTGTACATATTTATCAAATATCCGACAAAATAATTAATTAAAATTATTTAAAAAATCAACTTTCCGATTTATGTAAATATAAACCTTGTAGTTACCCATTCATTACTAGTCCTAGTAGGGTACATGATCTAACAATAAAATTGCATTTTCATGCGCAAGAATTGCTAGTAGTGTGTATGTACAAAGAACATTAAACGCCCTTTAAAGTTGAAAACAAGCCTTCATTTGCATCGCGGAAAAGTTCAGCTTGAACCACTAATAATAAGCGGATTTCTTATGTGAGAGATTTACATTAGAAATTATTGCAAATTTCAAGTACTAAACGAATAAAGAGTGATTAAGGTCGCAATATCAGGCATGTTCCAGCACGAAACGAGTTTAGTTAAATGTGTGCTTAAATAATAATGGAGCTCCCTGCTAAAACCTAGTTGGAACAGCCCTATATAGTAAATGCCTGTACCTTTATATACAGGGTGGTTTCAAAATTGTGGCGTTTCTCGCGTGCACACAAAAAAGAAAAAAGTTCATCTCGTTAAAAACTGAGGTATTTGTAAAAAACTGTCAAATGAAATCTAAACTTAAAGTTACTGTAGATATATTTTTTTTGAACATTTAATTTAAATTTTTGAATTTCATCCTTTTAAAACAAATTTCCAGGTAGTGAATTCGAAATAACTGCTATATATTCGAGAAATAATCGAACTTGTTGTTCTATTTATTCTACTCAGACTTTCCTATACTCCCTCAAAAATAATGCGCCGATTTTGAATCACCCCGTATAATGTAAATGTTGATAATCTTTTGTACCATAATCTAAATCTAACTTCCTCTATCTCGTAGATATCACCACCGTTCTGCTAGTGGACAACCATGGCAAAAATTCCCTAGGGAGGTTCTTAAGCGTAAAACCTGACTTAGGACTATTAACATCTACTGCACGTACATTTATCCAAGATGGTGTCACCACCGAGTACGCTACACAAGTGCTCGGTACAACCCTGGACAATGGACGACTTTACGCTCACTTACTTACAAAGACTAGTCGAGTGGTGTACGACCATGACTCACAAACAAAATCATATGATCCGCAGAGCCATAAGAACCAATGGAACTTGGATGAACATCAGATTGTTAATAAACATTTCATTCGGAACACTGATTACATATCCCCTGATTCTCCTCAGGCCGTATACGTGTTTCCTACTTCCACTGTTAACTCTTATCATTCTCCCAGTTCCCTACAAAATATTGACCCAGAGATCCTAAATGAGGCTCAGTCCAACAATGCGCCACTATCTTTTGAGGGTCAGAATAAGCAAATCATTCGACCACAAGGTCTTCAGGTTATGAAAGTAAACGCTCAGAAAGACTTCACTCACGAAAATCTCATCATTCACAATGATAACCCAGCTGACCTGGCCTTTAATCCTTCGAAGGTGAAAGGATGGGACAATCTGCCGACTTATACAGTCAGAAATGAGTTTTCGCCCTCAGGCTTTTCTTACTTGGGCAATCTTCCAGAGTCCGAAGTTCGGACTGAAAGATCTCGATTCACCACGCAGTCTGATCGAAAAGCTCGACTGTTATTCAAAGCAGGCCTTGTTAAGCCCAACCCTAAAGACCTGCAGACTGTCACCTATACAGGATTTGCTGACTTCACCACCACTGTAGCTGATACCGTAATAGTTTTCACTCCGCATACAAATGAGCCATTACAAAATACTGCTCAAGTCACTAAAATTGCTGTAGAACCAACGATAAAACCTACGAACACTTTTAAATCGTCACTTGCCACTAAAAAAGTCGAAAACACCCCAGTTACAGAAAAGTATTATCCCGCTTTTCTCACAACTGAAGAGAATCCCACTACTACTCTCCCTACGACAACAGAAAGTGATGAAGAAGATCCCGAAGAAGTAGGAAATACATCGGGACCGAACACGATGATAATTAACAAAGAAGACAGAGATGGCAAGGAAAGGACTCCCGATGAACCGATAGACTTTGCTGCGAAATTTTCCGTACTTGCCAATGAACAGAAGCAGGATGGAGCTCCTGTTTCATTTACGCCAGATATTATCCAACCTTCAGAAACGCAACCCGTTCTTCTGTCAACCCCAAGTGACGAAGACATTGCAAAAATATTGGCATCTTTACAAGCGCAAGCTATGAGCGCCACACAGCCTTTGGAAAGTGCAAAGCCATCGACGTTGTTTTTCGATGACGAGCAAGAATCTACGAGTGAAGTAACAACGCCGACAATAAAGAGTATTGGAGGAGCAACAACTATTTTCTTTGAAGATGACGACTTTTCCTTTGAGCCCAGCACTACACAAAGTGCTGCTGTCGCCACAACATCTGCAATCGAAGCAATACCAATACAAACTACATCCGAAAAGCCTTCTACAACCTCAGAAATTCCAGAGACTACAACGACAAATGAAGAAACGACCACTGAAGAAATTGAGATGACCACAGAGGCAGTTACAGCTCCTCAGATTCTACAAAACGAAATTGAATCCGCAGTATCGGAAAGCGTTCCGGCAGAGTGCACTGAGGGTGTAAAAGTGGTGCCTACAACTGCGTATAAAACGCTAACATATCTAACCACGTTCTATATTCCATCAGAAGAAACTACCAGCACATCTATAAAGTCCCAAGTGGTAGTATCATCTGAACTTTCCTCTGCAACGCTACCATGTAGTGACAATGAGATTCAACCCACGACAGTTTTGGAAACTACAACTGAAGCTACACAAGTGCCTGTTACTGAGCCTACTTTTACTGCAACTACCACTACTTCTGAACCGTTATTAACAGCTACAGAACAAGAAGAAATGCAGACTACGACGTTAACTAATGAACTGTCCGATGAGGATGAAGATGACGCCTTCTCTACTCAGCCGCATGAGATTACTACTGAAATGAGACATGTTACAGAATCCGAGCCGGACACTACTGAAAGTAGTACAGATGAAGATGATGAAATAGAATTAATATTCAAAACATTGTACACTACCTACACATATTTGACTACCTACTTCCAAGACTCCACTAGTTCTGTAGCTAGTAGGATTGTTGTGACTACCAACGTAATAACATCCACACTGGATCCAGCTAATGATGCGTCTGATCCAGCCCTTGCAGGACTGCTTCGTGAAGACGAGAAGATTGTTCCGTCTCGAACGGTGTCCTTTGATGATCTGGCTGGCATTCAATCGACATCGGGCGCAGCTAATGCTTTTCCGTCAGATCATTCCGAAGTCGAAAATAATCAAGACGAGTACAATCCTGGAATTGCTACTCCAGCTTTGGATGAGAAACATTTACAGACAGTTAATGGAGTTAAGACTTTCTACACCACCTACACATACTTTACTACAATATTTGTGGATGGAGAAACGGAGATTTCTAGCAGGACAGAAGTTTATACGAACTATGTGACTCCAACTGCGGTAAGTGAGGGAAGTGCTGATATTTTAGCAACCGCATTAGCTGGAGATGGTACTGATGATGATGACAAGGATAGTTTGGAATATCGTTTAAGAAACCTGAAATTGAACGTTGCTAATAACTACAGCAGTATTAATAGACAGAAGGTGAATAGTATTGAAGCGAAACGCTCAGAAAACGATGTAATCAACAATGTAATTCCATCAAAAACCCAGAAGGGCGATGGGTATATTACACTGACTCATAGGGGAAATAAAGTAGAAAGTGATAACAGTATTGTGGATCTTAGTGATTATGAAACGATATCCACAATGGTGACTGACGTGCGAAGCAGCACTTCAAAGGGCGACGAGAGAATAATCGACACTTTAGATAAGCGCAATATTTTGCTGGATGACCAAATTGTTTCAGAAAGCAACAATGAAAGTGAAATATTACCATCACCGCCCACATTGCTGTTGCAAACATCTTACACCACATTTACTTACTTCACCACCATGTATCATGGCACAACTTCAAGTGATATTGCCAGTCGACTGGAAACAGTCACCAATGTTGTTACAACTACAATAACTCCAACTCAGACATTGAATACTGAAGATGTAAACCTGCCGGTCACCTACTTTACCACATTCACTTATTGGACTACACTGTACAAAGATGGTCAAACGAAAATCACCAGCAGGGAGGAAACGGTTTCTAATGTTGTGACTCCTGGTTTCAAAGCAACTGAAGCTCCTGAAGCTATAATTCCCTTAATGACAACTAAATTAGATGAGGGACAGGTGATACAGCCAACTCCAACGGTTGAAGGAAGCGTTCGCCCAACTGAAACTCCTGATGTGATTATTCCATCCACCGTAGGCGAGGATGAGTTGACGACGTTTTACACCACATACACTTACTATACCACGTCTTATCTAGGTGATGAAACAGTCCTGAACAGTAGGCTGGAAACTGTAACCAACGTGCTGAATAAAACCGATGAGGCTGATGACAGTCAACAGGGCAGAGCTATCAAGTCTGGTGGAAGCAACCAAGTTGATAGTGTTGATCCTACCAAAGCCGATATAAAACCAACAGGGCTTTTATCTACCATTGTAAACACAGTAGACAATAATGGTACTTCGACTATATTTTCCACTGACGTGTTTGGTACTTACATCGATGGACGTTACGCAAAAGTCCTGGAAAGTAAGTCTTCAGTTTTGCCTGTTAACATTACCCCTAGCTCCGTTGTGGAGGAGAGTCTCAAACCAACCGGAGTTGTAAGTATAAACCAAGGAAAAATTGTGGATGCTGATGGAATAAGTACTTTGCTATACACCACTCAAGCCATCGGCACCTACATAGATAACCTGTATTCCCAAGTTATTGAGAGCACCAGTTCCCTAGCAGTAGACCAAGAAAGAAAAGCTGCCTTGGGTAGTGACCTCCCTGTGGCTCACCGCACAGGTCTGGTCAGACTGATCGAGGGAAGTATAGTGCAAAATCAAACAACCACGCTCTATGAGAGCAAAGTGTTGGGTACCATCATAGACGGGCGTTATGCTCAAATTATTGAGAGTACTTCCAGTTTTATCCTGCCCACTATTAGCCCCAGTGCTGTTGTTACCGACATAGTTCCCACTGCAACCAAGCACCTGGGTGACCAAGCAGTAATATCGCCCTCGCCTGTTGTACTCGAAGGATCCTTAACGGAAACTCAAACAGACAGTGAAGAAACAACTACCGAACCGAGCAACGACGAAGATGACGAGGAAGACGGTCGTGGCAAGTCCAGACTGAGTTTCCAATCTAAAGCCGCTAAGAACAAGTTCACTCCAGCGATCCGTCCATTCGCCTCTCGGCAACGGCCAACTTTTGCGCCAAAACGTAACAAGGCTGGAGCAACAACTGCAGCTACTATAACGCGATCTGACTTCACCCCAACAGTTACTGCAGTACCGGCATCTAAAATCCGATTTGGTGGCGGCAGACGAGGATCTTCGAGTGTTAATCAAGCTATCCAACCCACTGCTTCAGGCAGTCGACGATTCTCTAGACCTAAAGCGACCAGTTCCAGCAGGCGAAGCAGTGCCAGTCAAGTTAAGGCAACGTCGAGTGGGTTCAAACGAACTGGACCATCACGATCATCATTGGGTGGTGCCAATATCAGACCCAGTTCACTATTTGGAGGCAATTCGAGGTTCCGCATTAGGCCTACTGCAGCCAGCGGCCTAAGTCGATCTTCCAGTTCCAAAATTATAACCGAGACGCCTCCGGACAGTGAAAATGACTTGACAACTAGTATAACGGATAATCCCACTGATAGTTCAGGAGAAGCTGGCGATACAACATTGCCGTTGCAAACCAGTACGGAATCCATTAGGCGAACTAATCCATTGTTGCGCTTCAAACGGCCACCTGTATCTAGAGCCAATCCTAGTGTAAGAACGACATCCAAACCAGCTGTTCGCAATACTAATTCGTTTAAATCTAACCGAGCCACAAGTACGACTTCTAGACCTAGAACTACCCCTGCCAGGCCGAATGCTTTACTAAACAGACCAAGAGCTGGCGGTCTATTCCCTAGACGGAATCTATTCACGACCACGACGACTGCGGCGCCAGAGGAAGAACTGGACGAAGAAGTTTTAGATGAAGAAGGCGAAGAAGGTGATGATGATGACACCGACTATGAAGGATCACAGCGACACACTCAGACAGAAGCAGCACCAACAACGCCAAAAGCCACTCCTAGGCCTAACGGCATTCAAATTAAGCCATTCAGGCGACGTTCTAAGCGGCAAGCTACATATTCCCGATTCAGGAGGCCTACTGGTCGAACGACCGCTGCTCCTTCCACATCTCCCACGCCAGAAGTAGTGGCGGAGCCGTCTTCTCAACGAACTCCCTCATTTAGAAACCGATACCAAAGTAATCAATATCGATCTGGAAAGTCACAGCTGTCCACACAGCCACAGACAACCACTGCTGCTCCTGTAACGCAACGAAAACGCATTTCACCCAGCAAACCTCAAACCAGTAGAGCGCAGTTTACGCTGAAAGGAAAAGACACTATAAATAGCAGGAATAGTGGCTTGCAAGCTAGAACCACTAATAGGCGCACTACAACGTCAGCACCAAAGCCTAACCGCAAGTTCAGAAATGGATATAGCACAGAAGCATCAGTAAGAAGAACGACGGCAAGCCCAAGACGGGTTGCCAAAGGAAGAAGCACTAGTAGTCGAAGGGTTTACGAGCAGAAGATAGATGACAATTTCGTTGTGCCAAAGTTTGATGGAACGATCACTGTAACGTATAAAATTCCTACTGAGGTTACCATTCCAGTAGTCAACGGTAAAATCACTGAATACAAAAATATAGTCACAGCTAAACTAAGCACGGAGGTGCTGGCCCCCAACCAATATTCAACTACCTTAAATCATCTGGGGAAAGAAGTGAAAGCTCTGCTAACTGAGAATTCTTCAGTGAATAACAACGGAGCTACTCTAGTTACGCAGTTCCTGCTAAGTGAATCGCCCACTACCACCGTTATATTTACTCCCACTCAAATCAGAGGCCGCAAAACTTCCTTCTCACATGTCATCCCAAGTACAGTATATCAAGTGGAAGAAGTGGTAAATACCATACAGCCAGCCCTGGCCAATCAAGCTCCCTTAGCCAATATTCTGCTGTCGCAACTACTATTAGGAGGCGGAGTGCCTGCTAATCCCTTACTGGGGCTTCAAAACAACCCCGGTGTCCCAGCAACTCCCACAACTGAATTTAACACTCGCACCACCACCTATGTCACTACTGTTACAAGCACTCTGCAGACTGTTATCCCTCTGACTTTTAGAGGAAAGGAAATTTTAACCACCATCAGTGAAACGAGTACCCAAGTCGTCACTGCCACGGAATTTTTAACTGACACAGTGGTCGTTACTCCTACTTTGCCAGTGTTTGCCTCTTCGCCCCAATTAAACACTTTGCTTTTGCCACTTTTGCAACAACAACTACAACAACAACAACAACAACAACAACAGCAACAAGCTAACCAGGCATTATTGCCTCAAATTGCTCAAGTTCCCGCCAATGTTTTCAATTTGAACGAACCCCCACATCAACAGTTATTGGTTAATGATGAACTGGAAGAGTCGAATATCGCTGATAATGATGAAATACAAAGTCCTCAATCTACAGAAGTCACGGCTGCCCCCAAGAGAAAGCCAAAGAAAAACAAGCGCAAACCCGCAAAGGTAGAACCACCAAAGGAAACTAGTGTTATTACTTTGTACGTATCTGGAAGGACACCCGGAGACTTCACTACTGTCCTGTCTACAGTTACTGTAGGCGAAAATGCGAGAAAAAGAAGATATGCTGCTGAGACTCCAGTCAGACCATCTAAAATCGTAGGCGAAGATCTAGTCAGCAGCACCCAAGAATATTTTGATCGCTATGTGGAGCCAGCTACTAAAGAAATAAATATTGATGCATCGGATGTAGGATCTAAAGAGACTGAAAGTCTGGAAAGTATCATTGGCGATGTTCCGAAACATCTAAAGACAAAGACTGCAGGCTATTTCGCCACAAAACCTTCCAAAGCCACCATGAAATACTCAATCAAATACGTAAAAGCTTCTGACGGGAAGGTGTTGAAAAAAGCCAACCTTGATGGTGATTTTTTATCCTAAGAGACCTTAGCAATCATCTAGCCCCTGATAATGCCAAGGTCGAAACGTCTATCCTAAAACCGGGGGGCAATTTTAGTGATACAGATGGAGACACACCTACTAACAAATTTAATCGCGTTTCGAAAAATATTGGCAAATCAAACAATGATTTTTTTGTACATAATTATGATAAAGGAAATTTATATATAGAGCTTAGTAATAGGAATAAAAGAGACTTAGATAGTGTTAATGGGAATGGTACGAAAAATGGAAGAAGGGTAGTTAAAAAACTCATTAGAAAGCAGCTAGTTAATGCAACTGAGAAAAATGCAGGAAGAAGCATTGAAAATCTGACGGAACCAATTTCTAACAGGAAAAGGCGGCGTAAAGTTAAAATAAAGAAGCGAAAGCTCTTGCCACCTCCCAAAGAAGTGGTAGATAGTAACTATTTAAGAGGTTTGGAGGAGCATGGACAAGAAGCTACAAAACCTAGACGGAAATTAGTAATAACCAGAAAGCGTATCTTGCCGAATAAAAATAAAACTAACATTATAGAACCCACATCCGTTGCAGAAACGATACCGACCACAATGATGATGGAAAATAGCAAGTTTGATATTCAAATAGAAAAAAACCAAATAGAAAAACACTTTCGTGAAAGTAGATTAGGTAAAGGAAATCAATTTCTTAATGTTAATTCTGACGCGGCACTAGGCGAAGATGCAACTGAGGAGAACTTAATAGACGTCGAAAACTCAACAGAATCGCAAGAATTCATAAATAACAATGACGAAAAAGAAGACGAAATTAATGAAGAAGATGATGATGGTGATTATGACGATGAGTATTATGATGATGACGATGAGGGATTTGAAAGTGACGAAGACGATGATTACGAAGAAGAGTATACCGACGATGAGGGTAAAAATGATGAAGAAACCACGGAGGAATCACTAAGTCAATCGGAGACAACTACGGAAGAAAACCAGATGGTCAGCGTGAATTCAGAAAATCCTCAAACAAACAACACTGATCCCGATTCCCAATCCCTGCCCGAATATGAACCTTTCTTTCCTGAATTAACAGAAACAACAGATGTTCCAGTACTTCTTTTAAAAACGACCGTTGTAACCAATGTGGAGTTTGAAACCAAAACGATAACGACAACCAGATTACGAACGTATACATTCGTTGTTACGAGATTAGCTGGCGATGAGGAAATCATAACATCAACTACTGAAATAAAGCCGCAAATAAAAACGACTACTGTAACTGAAAGTTCTACTCTGTTTACGACTCTGACATTACTTGATTTGGACAGCATGGACAAAACTGATGTACAGCCGACTTTCCTTCCAACTTTGGAATATAATCCTTCTTCTCTGTCTAACATGGAAGGTGAGTTTTCTATCTTTTGTATATTATTATTCAAAAAAACTTCAAAACCTAGATTGAATGCTTTTGTTTTATCTAGAGATTCATTCATCTTATTTGTAGTGCATCAAATTCATCTTTAAACTTTTGTAAATAAACTGTACATATACATTTAGTTTACACATGTAGATACTGGTTTTCTTAAGCGACTTGGTTTACTTCAATAGATAATCCGGATTTCCGTGAAGAGCCGAGAAATTTGGCTACACGAATTATGTCCAATGGGGTGGAAGTCATTGTAGCTGGGGATAAATCGACCTATCCAGGAGATAAGGACTTCAAAAGAGTACTGCCAAGTAGTCAAAGGCACATCACTTTAAAGCCCAGTACTTTAACTGATCATATGTTACTAGTATTGCCGCAGGAAACGAGCAATGTAAGTGAAGATTAACATAGCACATACAGGGTGTCCCAATTTTAGTCACTTGGACTGTTTAACTTCTATAGAACCCTAAAGAGTTCACCATTCTAACTAGTCTTTATGAAAAATGTCAATGCAGTTGGGAATATACCTACAGAATCTGAAAAGTATGTGTGTTCAACTTTGTGTTTTAAGTAACACATCCTGTATATTATTGTTTGTTTCAATAAGCTGATTCTACTTTTATAAATATAATTTATAGATCTATCATTTTTATTGTGTAGTCCAATTCAATGATATTTAGAATTTAGTGTGATAACGCTAAATTGTAGATTTCTTGATTTCTAAATTCTAAAAAAAGATCTCTTGTTTTCTCTTTTAACTGTATTATCATGAAAAACAAGCATCGAAATCCGACAAAATAAAATAAATAAATATATCATCAGTTTCACTAAGTAGACCTAAATATTCTGTTTTTGAAAACGTTTTTTTTCCAAACTTAGACATATTTTAATTCAATATATCAAGTTTAGACATCAATTCATAAACATTTTTAGATAAATATTCCGCAGGATGATCCAAACAATGGCAAAAAGGGTGTTAATAATAATATTTTTAAATAGTTGCCATTAGACATAAACCCCGAATTTTTGGATTGGAGATTAAAAGAAGGGAAACTAAATGCAGAACGCGTATAACCTTGAATCATTTTTTTATTAATATACATTTATTATTTTCATTATCAATGTAGAACTAAACTGATCAACAAAATGAACGTTACACAGCGAAATTTTCCATAAGTTTCGAAGTGGATAAATTATGATTGCTTAGAGCGATTTGGCTTCAGTTTGAAGCGTTATTGAGACCCATTTATTTTCTGTTCGTCAATGTTTGGGTAAAAATTTAGCACTTCACATAAATTTTCTACAAGCTGGCAAATGAAAAAATGCATAATTCCTGAAAGTTCAGCATGTTCCTAGTTGGCAAAAAAAACGTTTTTTGGATCTCGACACCAAACGTTTAAAAACAAACCAAATAGCTAGAAATGGTTTTTGATTTTTTAGGCCATTTCTCCTATTAACAGGGTGATCTCAAAAAATTTAACTTTTTGGGCGTTCAGTTATCAGTTGTTCGGATTTTCACGATCTTGAGCTCATGTTGAAGTTAAAACTTCAAAGAAAATTTAAAACGAGCTTTCGATCTACAGGGTTGCTTTTTTTTGTCCCCTCTTTGTTTGTTGCAACCCTGTATATTACATTTTTTTCTCAAGTCAACTGCCTTGAGTTTTACCTTCGCTAATCAGTTCAAAACAAACTTTGCATAACTGCAGTACCAAAAGGTCGATTTTTTAATACCACCATGTAAATAAACGGGATGACCGAAAAATTGAAAAACTGTTTTCGAGATACGTTGTTCATCTTAACGCGTATGATCTTGAAATACAAAAAAAATGTTTGTCCGACTGAGACCATGTGGAACTTTCCAATTTTACTTCGTTTCATTTGTCACCCTATAGAAAATGTATCTGAAGCCATAACTGTTTGCAAAATCACTCACTAACCGAAAATCGAAAAAGAATTGCACTAAATAACGCTTGAAACAAAAATAGAATCGCTAGCAGGAATCAGAATGTATCTAGTTTCAAAAATGGTCCAAATTTGTCAGTGTAATGTTGATTTTGGTGAGACGAATGTGACCCACCTTATGTATATTGAATATTGTAGGCTCTAATTATCTATGGAAAAGACGCATTCTATGCTATAATTATATCAATACGAATTTTTCTACTCACCTTACCCTACAGTGTACAAAAAAAGTATAAAAGATTTTAGAAATATGTTAAGTGATTCTATAAACTAAACATTTGTTCGCATTTCTTGAAGGTTGAAAGCTTATCAACAGCTCTGGATCCAAATCAGTTCGTGGTGAAAACATGCCTTACCACTTTCACTTATCTGACAACGTATCTGGAAAAGGGCAGTACCACAGTTTCCAGTCATGAGCAGGTCGTATCCAATGTAGCTACGGAAGAACGAATGAATACCGGAAAAATCCTACCCACACCTGCCGTTGGAATCACTTTAACCCAGGTAAATTTAATTCGGCATTCAAAGAAAACTACTAACAAAGCTGGTTTTTTTTTCAGTATCCAACTCTTTCCGTTGGCGTTTTCCACACCACTTACACCTACCTAAACACCATTCTAGATGGTGAGCAACCTTTAGTAATTTCCTCTCAGCATGTTGTGGCCAATACCGTTACGGCGCCAGATGACTACCTATCTTTGCTCAAGCCATCAGAAGTTCAAAGGCCTGTCAAAGACACAAATACCTACATTAGTACAATAAACCTAGAAAAAACACTGTACGAAGGCGAGAAGCAAAGTGTGATCAGTACTCAAGACGTAGTGACCCAAGTGGTGATCACAGAGAGTGTTCCTCCAAAGGCCCGCCCAGTCATGACATCTTATATAGCTTTGGACATGATCCAAGAAGCACCTAAAGTGGTTCCAACTACCACAGATGTTACAAAAACGTATTCCGTGACTTACACGTACTTTAACACAGTCCTGGAGAGTGGAAAGCCTGTAGTATACACTAACGTTTCTACTGAAAGTGAAGTGGTGACTGAAAAAGTACTCATGCATCCGAAAAAGACGACTTCCAAAACAGTGACGAACGCTACAAGAGTGGAAAGTCCGAGCAAGCAAGTTAATAGCAAGGTGAGTGCCTTGAAATTCGATATTCTTGCCACCAGAATATACTTCACTACCTTCACGTACTTCACAACACTCCTCAAGGAAAACGACCCTCAGCAAACCACGATTATAAACTCAAGAACTAAAGTGATACAAAATGTGATAACAGAAACTTTAGCACCCAGTCTATTTGACCCCCAGTATCTGGCTTCTTTGTCTGAGGATCTAAAAGTTGGATCTGGTAGTATTCAAAAGCTGGCCACTTTAGTAGATGGACAGAAAATGGAAATTACTGTACATGCCAATGAAAACCATAACGAAATCAATCCTACTAACGTTTTGCCTATTAAAAAAACCCAAATGCCTTCAATTGAGTCTACGTCTAAACAATCATCAGTTACATCTAGCGCTAGTTTGGAAGGAAGCTTCGGCTCATCGAAGCCGAATATCATCACTGGCTCCACTATCGTTTTTATTGATGATGATCCCTTTGCAAATTTGATACCTACTCCAAGTTTGAACACTGATTCAACAAAAATCGACATAATCAAGAGCAGCAGTATTGTGAAAAATAACCTGGGATCATTGTTGGCTTCAGAAGTAGTGAAGGAAACCACGGTGGATGTTGTAACTAGCAAGGTGAAGCGACCGGGAAACAAGAATAAAAACAAAAATAAAAACAAAGTTAACACTACAAAGCCATCAACAGCAACTCAATCTTCCAGTAGTATTTCAGAAAAAAACGTGAAAAAGAATGACAAAAACAAAAAAGTCATCGCACCAGCAAAAGCTACTCTTACCAAACAACCGGAGGCTCCAGCTGGTGACTTGTTAGGTCTTGGGTCCATCAATATCAATACATTGCAAGCTCTAACGCCAGTGTTGAGCGCTATGGCAGGTTACATCAACAAAAACTTGAAAAGTAACCGAAGAAATGATGTAAATAGTACTGTTGACCGTGTCGAAACTCCGATCTATGCAGCAAACTCGCAAAATAAACAAGACACTCAGAGTAAAAACCACGTAGCTCCGGCTATTGATGTACAAAATAGATCACCAGTCTATATACCGGTGGGAGGGGTTGTAGGGGATGATTTTGAAATTGCTGAAAGTCAAAATATTGCTACGTTCGAGTGGAACGACTCTCCAATTCAGCCTCAAGCTTTAGGTAAGTGAAACATGATTTGTAATATCAGGGTAATATAATGAACATAAATTGTAAAAGGAGGTTTAATTGGGATGATTCATAATTTTCAAATGATATATTTCAAAATGTATATCGATTTACAGCGTCCTGCACCTTCTGATCCCCAATCTCCAATACTGTCGATCGTTCCAGAGGCCTTCCTCGATATTTCTCTCATATGATTATTTATGCCGCTCTGTCAGCTCGTACGTTACCGCTACCTTACTTTATTTTCTTTTGCCTCCTTGGCTCCATTCCAGCACCTGTTTCGGTAATCTTGATAGTGGCATTCTTAGAGTATGCCTAAACCACATGAGCTGTTTAACTCTGATATCGTCGGTAATGGTGCGATCAATTTCTTGATATTGATAAATTCCTCAATAATTTTCCCAGCCTATTCTGACTCCTTATATACCAATGACCAAATATAGGTGTTAAATTTGTAGTTTTCCACTCTGCTAGTAGAGTTTGTTTGTTAATACACTTTTGAAGCGTTTTTGAAGATGTTCGATTAACTTGTTGTTTCTCATTCATCGTCTCACCAACATAATATTGATTTGACAGTCACCCAATGCTTCCATTGCTGCACCACGTATGGCTTCTTTTATGGGGTTGAGAGTATTCGATATATTACGATTCGATATGTTCATTTTATTTCATTTGCTTTTATAAAGTCTTCTTCTCGTCGTTGTCAAGTCCCCTTAGATTGTATGGTTTTTTCTGCAATCTTGCATGTTCCTCAGTACTTTTTTCATTTCCTCCTGGAAAGTATATTTTTGTGGTCACAAAGTAATAATCGCTTCCATATTTTCGTCCTTTGCACACTCGGTCGTCTTGTATACTTATATATACCTGTATATACTATATAACTTTGTCTTATTGTTTTGAAATTACGTAATCAATATAGATATTAGCCCTCGTGTGTCTGGCATCCAGTTTATTTATGAATATCACAGTGTTAAAGTATCCATTCATGATTATCACGTTATTCTGCTCACATACCGTTGTTGTCAATTTTGTCTTCTCCATATCTTGTGTCCTATTGTTACAAGAAGTAAGTCACCAAGAAGAATAACTTCCCCTGATTTTCCAATTTTTAGGAAGAAGGTATCCTTTTCGTTGAACGGCTCAACTTCACTGACCGAGTATATTTCTATGGTTCTATTGGCTATATTTAAATAACAATCTGATATGAATTCGTGGTTCTAATGTTTCTCAATTTCAGTTATAACTATTACTTTTAACTCGGCAATTCTTTCCCTAAACCGCCATCTCTGAATTGTTTTCCAGGTCCTTTACAACATGAAGCGCCATTGCTCGGAAACAGTGGTATCTCCATCAGTCCTGGAGATGTTATTACGGCAAATTCGGACGTGATAGTTGGAAAACCGGGTCGAGTAGGACCTAGATTGCCAGCAACTATTCCCTTGCATCACGAATCTGTTAACGAAGTCCCAGTCGGGATGAAACCACCCCCGTTACCCGAGAAGCAAAACAACTGGAGAAGCAAAAACAACAATGCTGAACGTCGGCCACAAATTCCTTTAATTGTTGACCAAGTGCCGGCCCAAACTAACATTATTCATGCTCCCAATCAGGACGATTATGTGGGGCCGCCACCGCCAGTGAGGGAAAATAAAGATAAATTCAGGGGTGAAAAGCGCAAGCATATCCCGTTGATCCCCCAACGAAGGCCTGAGCAAAGTTACAAACCAAATGGGTATGAAGACCATAACCAGCATCCAACAGACAACCAATTTAACCATTATAACATGCAGGGAGTCCCCCAAAACAATAACGGGTTTAGAGAGAATGGAATAGCGCAGAATAGCGATCAAATTAATTTCGCGTCCAAGTACGCACCGCAGTATTCCGGAGAGCAGCACAACCCAGCAGGAGTCGTTGGAAACTTCCACAATTCTGGCCCTGGAGGACAACATTTACAAGAAGCCATCAGCAACAACTACCAAAAAGAAGCTCAAAAGCAATCTTATCCTATTTATGCAGCTAATCAGAAACCTTTGATAGTAACGTCCATTCCCATAGTCCTGCCCGAGGTGGTGGAGCGCAGCACTGGGCAACCTCTGCTGGTTCAACTGCAGCCTTCACAGGTCGCCTTTGTAAATATACCAGTCAACAGAACAACAGCCTTAATATATGGAGGCTCGACCGAGACCCATCATAATGGCCAATATTTTGATGATCCCAGCCCATATCCTGAACCGGAATTCAATCCGATTGAAGGGTTCAAAAAGGGAATTCCTCAGTTTGCCTCCATTTATCACGACACTCCTCAACTAAACCAAGTGAATCAAAAGCAGGTTTCTGGAGTGATCAAAGTGGGTTCTCATATTGATCATTCGATCAATGCGGAACCAGACACTAGCTCAAATGAAAAAATCCCCATCAAAATAGCTCCTAGTCGATTAAATGATCCGCCACAGTATGAAGGTGGGTTTAATGTTAACGTGCCGTTATCATATGGCATGTCTGAGCAACATGGAGACACAAACGCCCATATAATAAACCATGAAGGAGGCAAAATAGCTGTTCAAGCTAACAACATTCCATTTGTTGTGTTTAATAACAGCTACAGTAAACACCCCAATCAGTATTCGCTTTATCCAAACTCAGCCGACTTAACCGGCACCACTCAAAGGCCAAACTTGCAAAATAGGCCTGCATATGCAGACGCTCCCGGGGTTTCGCATGAGCAGGCATTAAGGCCGAGTACAGCAAACTATGGACACGGGCAAAAGTCTGAGAACTTCAACCATGAGCCTAGCGACAATTTGCCTGCTAGTGATTTATCTGTGGCTCTTAGACCCCCACAAAACCCTAACATTTATCCAGACAACTCAAAGCCTAACAGACCGATCAGATTTAACAAGCCAAAGTACAATTATCCCCCAAAGAGAAACATGCATAGACCCAGGCCAAATAGACCCCAAGTCCAAATATCCGAGTTCATGACTCCGCCACCTTCAATTAAGCAGCACATATCCAATCGTCCTCCTTTCAGGCAGAGCCCTATTGAAGGAAACGGGCACATTCCAATTCCTTTAGTAGAAAATCAAGAATTTAAACCACCGAATCAGGTGAGCGGGTTCGATTCAAACCCACCACCGTTAGCGAATCTGCAACCAAACTCCGATGAAGTTTTCCCGATCTTTGATCCCAACAAAGGGCAGTCGTCGTTTAATGTGGATTTCCATAGTAATAAACGTCCGAGTGCCAATAACTACCATCAAGAGAACCTTCGGCCAGATGCTGAGAAGGATGATTTGTTCAGTGATGATCATTTAGACGATGATTTTCCGAATGAGGACGGCGAAGTGGTGCAAGAATCGAACGCCAGGCCTTTAAGGCCAGGAGAACTGCCAATAGAGGTGCTGCGAAAGGGACAACCGACCACCACCGAGTATGCTTTGAATATGGTTCGGTTCCCAGATAGTTTACAAAACAACACTCAAATTCGGTTTCCCTACAGTAAATATCCTAGGCCAGAGTTGGTGCAGCAAACGCTTTTCAAAGGTCAGGAGATACCGATCAGTCCTGCGGAAGTGCCGTTTGATTTTGGTAACCGAAAACCGCCACATCCCGCCAGGCCTCCTTCAACAGGATATAGAATTACCACATTTAAACCCACATTTAATTTTAACACTTATTCATCGAATCCGCAAACTCAAACTGAGGAAAATAGATTGGACTTCAATAGAAAGCCGATAGAATCTACACAAACAACAACTCAAGCTAACAGGGGCCAACCCCGAATAAATATGACCTCGAGTGGAGGTTCCAGCAGTACCCAGAGACCCATCCTAATATTCATAGACGAAAATGGGCAGCAAAATGGGTTCTTCCGTAAGCCGACTGTTAAGAACGATCGGCCCAGAGTGACTTCTTTGCCGATTGACCCGCAAACCTCTACAACAATCGCAACAACACGAAAGCCCAAAAAACCAGAAACTCAAACAGAGAAACCATTTGACGCATCTAAATATCCAGCTAAACAGCAAACGAATGAAATTAATATTCCTATAGTGGATGATGATAAAACCAAAAATCCCGTCATGGGAGGACCAACCAGGCCCTCAATTCTGCTAAACAGTGGTGAAAACTTCGGTGTGGATCTCACGCAGCAGATCAACGACATGGAAGTGCTTCAGCCTCCTCCGCTTCTTGAAGAAGTCCCAAAAATTCCCAGCGTTTCAATGCAACCGCCTAAAATCGATATCAGTTCCCCTGGTCATGATATCGTTAGAGTGCCACACATCAAAACGAAATCGCCAACAGATCAGGAAGGAAATGCAAATACCATAAAACCGTTTGTACCTGAACCGTCTGAAGAAATGGTGCCTCCGGCGCCAGATATTCGGCCGGACAGCGCAGTTCCCACAACAGAAGTAGTTTTGGGAATGAACCCACCGCCCCTAGTTTCAACCCACAGACCTTTAATTTCCAGCGAACGTCCCATTGTACATGAAAGCAACAATGAGTTTTCTATGCAAGTTGATATTCCCAAGGATCCGCATACGACCTTAAAGACATACGAACGCCCAAAGACTAGAATGCCGCCTTTCAGAAAACCGCCGGGTTACCGACGAACCAGCACCACTACCCCTACATCTTACACTTCGAGTACCAGCACCAAGAGAACCACTCCTCAGGAGAATTTCAAGACAAGAACTTCAACTACTTCCCGTCCTCTTAACGTCGGCTTTTCTGGGGTGTTCAGTAAGGAGAATAATTCTGAAAATGGTGGGCGTCAACAGAGCAAAATCCCATCGACTTCCAGTACAATCTCACCAACACCCACAGTTAAGAACACTCCTAGCATGGAAGTCATTGTAGGCCAGCCTAATTTCAACCAGAACAAGGAGAACAATAGGCTGAAAGATAACAAAAACACCTCATCTGAAAATCAAGCGCAAGGATCAAGTAGAGAGCCTTCTTCCACTACTGAAGCCACTCCAGAACTGTCGATTACTGTTCCCCAAGACTTAAACGATATAATCACTAAACCTATCCATCATGCAGGCAACGAGGTGAAAATTGTAGACGAACCAAAGAAATCCATTGCAACCAGCAGTTTGATCGAAAAGTCTGCTGTGTTGCCTACAAGGTATATAACGCACACTAAAACACATACTGTAACCATCACAAAAACTACGGTGGTGAAGACATTGGGAGGCCCTCCAAGTACTCTGACGCTGCTGGTAACCAAAACCGAAAAGAGCTACATTGTGGATACGGTAACAGAATTCCACACTCTGGTTAAACCAACTAGTATAATAGAAACCGTTACAACTACCATACAAAAAGAAAACTCACTATATCCAAGCGATGCGTTCCAAAGCAGCTATCCAATTGGGCAAGTGAAAGCTACCTCAGTAGTCTCCAATGTAGGCAAACCTACTATTGTTCCTCCCAACGAACATTCACCACATGTCTTCAGTTCGGAAGAAAACCATGGCTTTGATGACGACGAAAGTGATGATGACGACTCTTTGGAAGATTTCATTATCAAAGACACTGATGAAGATCACAGGTAAGATACGATAGAATTAATAATCAAACAGATGTACCTAATGGGACGAATATTTTAGTTCCAGTCAAGGAGCCCAGGAAGAAAGCTACAATAGCAACGAATCGATCTTTGTTGTGATGACCGACAAAAATAAGGGCACTATTATAAAAATGCCTCCTCAAATCCCTGAACCCAACAGCAACGATCATCCGCAACGAGACGAAATACGGGAGAATGAGGTGAACGACATTCTTTTAGGTGGCATCCTCACCGCCAATCAACCGGTAAATGTGCCTGGTTTATTTGGGGAAAACAATAAGGAAAAATGCACTCCCGAATGTAAACCGAGCAGGAATGAATTGTGCCAAAAGGTTGAAGGGATGATGAGGTGCGTGTGCAGACCTGGATTCGCCAGAATGTTCCCAGATAGACCATGTAATCGTAAGTGGAAATAAATTATTTGATACAATCAATTTAGTAGCTTAAGCTCTCAATTTCGTTGCTTGAGCAAAGATTGAAATAAAGACAGCAAACTGCCGTAAGACATATTAAATTGATGTTTACTCAGAAAACATTGCAGGTATCTCAAAACACTGCCAAATTGTGAATAACACTGAAACCAACACACTAAACCAACTAGAAAAGTTATAACTAGGGCTTGGAATTTTTAAAAATCTGATATTCAAATATTCGTTTAGTGGTTTATTCGAATAGTAAAATTATTCGAATACTCGAATATCTAACGAATATTCGAATAATCGAGTATTCGAGTATTCGAATATTTGAGTATTCGAGTATTTCTATTCGTATTCGTTAGATATTCGAGTGTTCGTTTTCCGTTCACCGTTTTCCAAGAAGAAAAATTGTTATCTCATATCATTTTTGGCAACTAGCCGCAACGGATAAAAAAGTGCTTTTGTCGGCACATTAATTGTAACACCGCGCAAAAGTTGATCACGCGAATCACCAGAACATGATTATTTTTATTTGCTTGTAAATATATGGGTATTTGTTTAAATGTTTGTAGAATATGAATAATTTATTTTATAAAAGTATACAAAGTGCATATAAAGATATTTATACCTTGTGAGTTTGATAATGTTGGTGTATTCGAGTATTCGATTATTCGAGTATTCGAGTATTCGAATATTCGGATATTCGGATATTCGGATATTCGAATATTCGAATATTCGAGTTATGACTACACATAATTATTCGCTTTTCGAATATTCGAATATTCGAATACTCGAATTATTCGAGTTTGATTCCGAGCCCTAGTTATAACACCTAGGATAAATGAAATATTCCTCCAAACAATTAATATTTTAAAAATTCTGTTTTCAAAAATGATAAGTTTGTTGCTTTTCTGAGTGTTTGTGAGTCAGATAAATCCTTTGTGATAATTCATAAAATTTGTATCCAATCGCCAAGAAATATTATTTTAAATAAATAAATTCAATAAAGGAAAGCTAGTTTTTTTAGATGAAACTGTACAATTTATAATGTGTTACAGAAAAAATTAAGAATAGAAAATAAATACATATATACATTTTATTTTTTGGCGATGCCCGCAATATACTTTTTTGATTGCCAATTTTGATTTTTAAACTGCCAATCGCTCACTTACTGCCAGCTATAAATAAATATGTACTAACAAACTACAAATGGACAAAATAACAAAGTATTTTTTTTTGATTTTCAAGAATTTTATGATTTTACGCAGAAGACTCAGAATTTTAAGGAAAATTGGATAAAGAATCAAAATTGAGGATTTTATGGCAACTAAAAGTTAAAATCAGCATGTCTGGTGTTTTTTCGATAAACCCGGATTTTTAATGTATGTATTTGTTTTCCGTATTTCTCTCGAATTCATTTCCTTTATACATGTTTTAACAATGTTTTTATATAGTTGATTATAATCGGAACCAAGCTTTTCTTCCTGTTTCATCAAAGTGATAAAATTGAAAATCGCAAAACATTGTGGCATTGAAGCTTAGCGTTTTACGCGATATGTTTTAGCAAGTAGTTGTGTTCCCAAAATTAATGCACATCCTGCACTGAAAAATAATTCAATTCTCTTAGTTAAGACACAATATATTCCAGCTACATACACGTACAGCATGAACGTTACTATTGAGAAAATTGGCAAGCTTCCTGTTAGATATACCGATAGACTTTCCATGGAAAATAGTACAGAGTTTATGAGAATGTCCAGAAGAGTTCATGAGGCTTTGGATCGAATGGTTATGCAATCTGATCTGAGGGACATATTTCATGGAGTTCATGTCACATCGTTCTATCCCACCCAAAATAGAAATGGTGTTATCAGCAAGTTTTATCTTCAGGTAAAAACCACGCACTTTAAAAATTACAAATTCCAGATACATTTTGCCTGATAGCTTTCAGATAATATTGACGAAATTCGCATGGAGGATATTTTGAAAAAATATTTGAGAAACAGCAACTATTCGATAGGAGGCACTGATGTAATCGCCTCAACCCATACGGCAGGCCACATAAACGTGCAGGACTTTAACGAATGCGAAAATCCCAAATTCCATGACTGTTCGGACAATTCACAATGTTTCAATTTGAGAGGCACATACACCTGTTCGTGCAAAGAAGGATATTCGGGTACGAAGACGTTAATCTATCGGACACCAATATTTTATTTTATTTCAAAATGTTACTTTCCAGATCTTTCCGAAAACATGCTTTATCCGGGCAGGATTTGTAGCGCAGAGCAAGTGGGTTGTGAAAAATGCAACTACCACGGCATGTGCTATTCGAGAGGCTCGGAGGAAGTTTTATGCGAGTGTTTCCACTGGTATGCTGGAGAATTCTGTCAGATCAACCTTAAAGGTGCAGTATTATTCAACAAAACATACTTACACAGTTAGCTAACGTATGCATCATTTTACAGTTCTTCTGATAGCCTTAGTCACACTGGGCACGATCTTATTCGTCCTTCTGCTCGTTTGCATAATATTAACGTGCGTTAAAAAGAAGCCCCAAAAATCGAGAGTATCCGGTACTATTGGCTTCTTGCCCCAAAGAGGAAGCAACCAAGCAAAAGCAGTAAAAATGGATAGACGCGCAATGATTGAAGACACAAGTTCAGAAGATAGTCGAAGCGAAACGAATTCTGTACCTCCATATGTCCAACAAGTACGACTTGAAATGATAAAAACCTAGCATATATTTTAACGATGAACTATTTTTGTTGTAAATATCAACATCCTTTTTAAAATGTTTGTGATTATTTCAGAAACAACCAAAATTGAAACCGCCTCCGCCAAAAGGAGCTTTGAAGAAAGTTTCGAAAGTGTCTATGACTAGTGTAGAACACTCTGAACCCGGAATAATTTTCCCAGGTTAGCGCAAATGAGGCTACAAAGTATCCCATTAAACTGAACCGTTGCCTCAATTTAGAATTTTTTCTCTTTAGATCAAAAAGATCGATCTTTGACTGTGATGATTCCTAGAGCTAAATATCATCCAGCTGCTCACACCTCGCCTTTAATGAACTACACCACATTTGACGCCAGAAAACCGAGTGTTCCATCTGTAACGCCCGAAGCCAAACTCCTTAGCTATTTGGATGCTGGTCCAGGCCCTTCAAGAGTAAGAGCATATTTCAATCAATTTTTGTATATTCAATGTGTATTTTACCTTTAGACGGAGTCCAAACGTAAATATAGCAACGCAATTAGCGAGCAGTTTATAGAAGAACAGCCGAATTCGCGGAAAACTTCAGGAGCGCTAATTTCAGCCGGTTTTGAAGTATCCGCAACGGTGGTAAATAATATGGGGACCTTAGGTAAGAACGCATTTTTGGCTGTGTTCAGACAATATAACACGTCTGACTGTTGTATTGCAAAGTAGAAACAAAGTTAAACAATTACATTTTAATAAAGGTACAACTTGCGGGACTGAAGCTGATAGAAGTGAAAATGCCACTTTGATTCAAAAGATTAGTGCAGATTTGCTGTCGAGAGCAGACACGTCTTCTCAATTCAATACGTTAAGAAAGTCACTAGTGTAAGTGTTTGGTTGGCTATGAAAAACTGGAGAAAAGATAGTTTATAAATCAATGTTTCAGTGATGACGATTTGGAATCCGGCAGTAACTGGATGGATATTCCTCGAATAAGGTATTATGTGACAAAAAATTAAGTTTAGATGCAATTTTAATTTTTTTACAAACTTCTTTTTGGGTATTTCGCCTCAAAAATTTTTGTCGCGTCTTTTATTACAGATTGATAAATAATGCTCCTATTTCGCAATAAGAACGAATTATTTATCAAAAAGTAATCTTAATTAGAGAGAAATTAATTTGAAAAATTACCTTGACGTGTCGATAGCTATTTTTTGCTATCGTTATCAAAAGAACCTAAATGAACCTAAAAAAGAGTATGT